CCTTTTACATTTGACACAAAGTAAAAAATGGTGGGGTTTTAATCACAGTCATTGCCACCATCTTGATTTCTCCCTGCTACACATACGTATAATTGGCCATAGTGGCCACTCCAGAAATTTGCTGTCTCTTGCTTTTTAATTGCTATGTTGCTGGGAGCAGTAACTATGTACTGATTTTGATCTATTAACAGCACAAATTTTGTACCTGTTTTTTTTTTTAAAGGAAAGCTTTGATTTTTTTGTCTCTTGTAAGAAAGGAAAGGAAAGGAAAAAAGGAAAGGAAAAAGGAAAGGAAAGAGATTATAGGAGAGGAGAAGAAGGGGGAGTGGAGGGGACAGGAGAGTAGTCCCTGCAGATTTTACTCTATTAGTTGCTACTCACTGGTCTTGGAATGGAGATGTAGATCACCCCCTCTTGTAAAAAAAGGCCATATTTATTTAGTTATATGGGGAAAGAAAGGAACAAACTCTAAACACTCTAAACATATGGGACACACAAATAAGACCTCTCTACTTCAATGCGGAATTAATATTCATTTTTAATGATATTAGCACAATAAACTCACACAGTAGCATTGAATTTTGTACTTATTTAACAAAATACATTTATAGCAATTTACAAAGTTTTTTTTTAAAACAGTGCATAACATTTTATTAGAACACAATACTTTATATAGAATTCTCATTTAAAAACATATTCTGTATTTTACCCAATTTTTTTTCTTAGTAAAGCACAGCCTAACAAAGAAATTGGTGCCCCTTTCAGCAAGTAAGAAAAAAACTCGAAGATGCCACCTGTCAATTTGATTTGTTTTGAAATTAAGGTATCAGTGGAATGTAAACAAAGATTTGTTTTACAAAAGGCTTCACAGATGATATACATACAGAAGTTAGAATCTCAATGTATATTGTTATAATACTTTTTTGTTCTTTAATGTAATTACTGAGAAGCCGTTATTAAAAAGTGTAGCCTTTGGCACTTCTGTGTAAAAAAGTATTTTCAGTATTTTAAGTAAAGAATGTAATTTCAATGATTTTGCAAGTGCTTTTAAAATTGTTGGCTGGTAAGTAGGAAAAGTTTAGATAGGAAAAGTATCGCTGCTGTTGAAAGAGTGCAGCGAAGTTTAGAATCCAAGTAACAACTCACAATTATTTATATGTGGTTGGCTAACTAAAGCAAAGCAAGAAGGATAATTAAAGAGAAGCAACCACTCCCTCCAAAAACATAAACATGCAACAGAAAAAAAAAGAGAGATGTTATCTAGAATGGCTATTTGGAGTGCTTGTATTATTGCAGTTGTTCAGTTCGTAATCCTATATTTATTCATTGAAGCACAAGTCCTGATGAGCGCAGTACAACTGAGAGTGGTACGCATGAGGAGGACTTTATTAACACTTGTATATCATGTTTCTAGCCTAGCAATGACTGTGTACTATGTACTGTTAAGTCTTTTGAAGACTTCCCAGTTTAATAAAGCAAAATGTAATCCCCTCTGCCTCCGAGTCAACAGTTCATCAGAATTGATTGGAGTGAAAACATTTAATCTTAGCAATGAATCTGAATAGCTTTTCCTCTGGAGGAAAAGTTCAATACTATATTTACCCTTAAATTCTGTAAATAGACAGTCAATCCTCCGATCCAGCTAGGGTAAAAAATGTAGCTTCAGAGCCCCAGCAAAAGCAGCTCTGGAGCTTCTTCAAACAAGCCACAAAATTACACTTTTTTAATGTGAGAGAAGAAGAAATTCTACGATGCGTGGGAAATAATCGTATATGGTATGTTAAGTTTGAATTGCACCAACACTGAAATCAAACTTAGCGCATTTGGTCCTTCTTACTTTTTGAGTGCAGCTCGTGGTATGATATTCTAGTTAAAGACTAGATGTGAGCCTCCTCTGGAAAAAAAGCAGGGATGTTTTATTAGCGGGACCCTTATCAAATGTTCAACATAAAGCAAGGAGCTGTTGGTAGAAGAGTGTTGGACATAAAAAATATATCGGCTGGATGCCTGCACCCAGCAATCAGGATTGCATGGTTTATTCCTGAGCTGGATTGGGACTAGGGATGTGTGATGACCAGTTTGGGACCGGAAGGAATGGAATGTAGGCCAGTTTCGAGATGTGTATCTCAAGTCATGATTCTCATCTCTTCTAAATGGTGTCTCTGATAATGCCTTCCTTTCTATCTGGTCCAACGAGAGAGGTTAACTCCTCAGTGCTACTGTGGGGTACGCAAGAAATAACCGCTTGCTATGTAACTTGCGATAGATTTCAGAATGATTGTCTAAAAAGAACACTCTTTGTGTAGAAGATCCTGTCTTTTGAAGGACTGCAGGCTAAGCAGTCATGCTAGAAGAAAGAATATTAGGTAACTGAGCTGGTAACTTGCCTTGAGACAGAGAGACACTGCTAAGTGGTGGGGACAACTGACACTCTGAGCTTACAGTGATGTGGGGGGGGGGGGGGGGGGCAGGGGGTTTTGTTCTGGTAGAAAAGGGGGGGGATATGAATTCAATGAACAGAGTATAACAAATAATCTGCCCCCTCTGCCATTTTTTCAAAAGTCGTGGAAAATACAACATTTACATTTTGCTTTCAAAGTGCTTTTAAACACTGTTTTAATAGATCAAGATAGCTTTACTGCACGATGATGACCAAAATGTTCTTGCATTATGTAGTGTTTTTGTTATTAACAAGAAAAATCAACAGGTTTCCGAGAGAGAGATTGGATTCCAATTCTTTCCAGTAGGATAGAAATGAGGATAGATTGTCACTCAAAGCTCTTTGGAGGGAGAATGGGAAACATATTCAAGAAACTATAGTTGATGATCAACATTCTAGAATACAAGGATTTGGCCTGCATCTTCCAAATGCTAGATGCCAGATACCTCTCAATTTTCTTTCCGGGCTGAGTGTTCTGATGTGAACTGCTGGATTAATATACAGATCAGCCATTGCATTATTAGTTGGGTTTCAGCAGCATCATGCGGCTTCCAGATCAGAGGTGATATTCAGCAGGTTCTGACCAGTTCTGGAGAACCGGTAGCGGAAATTTTGAGTAGTTCGGAAAACCGGCAAATACCACCTCCGACTGGAGATTTTACAGTCTCCTTCCCCTGCCTCGCCCACCAATCCACACCCACAGAACTGGTAGTAAAAACATTTGAATCCCATCACTGTCCAAGATGTGTTCATGGTAAGGGGAAAAGAATTATATTCCTAACTGAAAATTATATTAACTGAATATGAGTAGTGGTAGTACAATGCAGCATTTTCATATGTTTGATGATTACTGGGCATGGCACTTTTTTTTTTAATAAAAAAGGTTAACACTGATTGATGAACACGCTGCAAGCAATTGAAGGGTCATTTTATATTCCAAATGACTAAGACAGGGGTGTCAAACTGGCGGCCCACAGGCCAGCTGCATCAGATGCAGGCCACACCTACCCCGCTCCACAAAGGCGCGATACGTCATGTGACGCAATCGAATTTGATGCCCATGGACTAAGAGAACCACTTCTCTGTGTGAGCATTTTAGCTGTGGCCGTCCCTAAATGACAAGACCAGCCCATCTATTGGATAGGAGTGTTATCCAATATTCCACATTGTCACAGGCCACCAGGTAGCCAGCTACAAGTCAGCCATTGCTTTCATTGACCTCAGAAATATTAAATCCTTTTTAGTATATTAGGAACTCAGAGGGAGGCAGAGGTTCAACACTGATGCAGAAGAAAAGAGGATAAGTGATCTAAGAACTTAAGATAGCAAACTGCCATTCGGGAGAGGATTCAGCAACTTAATTTCAGTTCTCATTTCCACTGACTATTTTACCAGCCATGGGAGATTAAGATAAGCCTATTACGATTGCTTGGATCTTCCAATCATGCTCCTTCATTAAATTCAGGTCATTAAATTCAGAAGCATCACCCAGTTTTTGGGAAAAGAATAACAGGGCTCCTTTGTTGATGATGTTCCTATGTTTAAGGCCATGCCTGCTAATTGATTAGGCAATCTGACTTGTAAGATTTATTTGCACTGTTACAACACAGTGGCAGTGATCGGGGTGAAGTGCTAGCTAATCAACAATGAACACACACAAAAAAAGAAAAATGTAAGCCATGAAGCAAACTGAGAACCCTGTTCAAAATGAAGAATTTGAATTAGTGCTGTAAGAGATCCCTATCTTCAAAAAAAAAAAAAAAAAAAAAGCACAATATTTAAATTAATCCCAAACTATCTTGTTAAAAAGCAACATCTATCTCTATTAGCACCTGTAACTGAATTAAGTTTGGAGAAAAGCAAAGCTAAACTAACTCAGGAGAAATTATTTAACTTTCATGGAATATCACCTTTTGTTTCTGTTTTGTTTTTTTTGGCTCTAGAAAATCTTTCAAAGCTGTATTGATTCTTGATACTTTTCTATTCTAAATGAATGCAGTTAGCATGGTGTTTTCAGCTAGAATACTCGCACATCAAAATGTATTGTGTTTAAAGAGCTGCACAGGAGTAGAAGTTTTCTAAAAATGTAAAGTTAGAATCAGCACCGTTTGGTATTAAATTTTGGTGCAAAACCCGCAAAGATGGAAGTACAACTCTGGTACAGCTTTTGCTTATGTTAAAAAAAAGTGCTTTCCTTTGACCATGAAATAGAGATAAGTTGAGAAGTTGGCACATTCAGGAACCGAGCAGTCTAGATTTAAGACCACTCTTTTTGCTGACACAGATCCCACTGGAAAAAACATTTTGATTCTGAAAACAAAAGCTTGCTCCCCTTCACTAGGTTCTTGCATTGTGCTTTTTCCCCCCGCGACATGAAATTCACAAATTCATGCACAATCACTACACATCAGCAACATCCATAAACAGTCAGGCTGATGGTCAATAGTTGGCACATCAAGAATATTTCGGCATCAGCTCTAAAAATAAAGAGAGTGCAACGCTTGCACCCAAACAGTATTGATTGTACTGGTATTTGTTGTTTTGGCTGAAGCACCAGCCCTCATTCTTTGTAAGCTCTTGTTGGAGATGTTCCTTTGTAGAAGATATTCCTGGTATTTTCGGGGCTGCTGCCTCTTTCGGGGATTAAAATGATATTACCTTTTCTCCGAAGTGTTGAGTCACGGCTAGAGGAAATGGACAGGGTCTCTGAGCCGATCTCACTGCCTTCTACAGGGGTCACTCTTATTGTGGTGATCCCATGATGATGATGGTCACTGCCCTCGATGTTGCTTCTTTTCCGATCCCCGGAACTGTAACTGTCTTTCAAAGATTCGCAGCTCTCAGAGTCTCTGTTGAGATCGTTGAGCTCGTATGTTTGGCGAAGGCTCCCTTTCTCGGGGGCTTTCCATTTCCAGGAGCCGCTGCCTTCTCCTTCGGACGGCATTTGGATGATGGGGCGGCTATTCTCAGGATGGGCCTCTACCCTTACAATGCTGCTCGGTTCGTGATCTGTCAAGGTTTTGTAGCGGATCGCTCCTGTACAGGTGACTGTGCTGCTATCAGTGCCCTTTGGGCTGCCCTGAAGGACTCCTTGTTGCTTTGACATGGCTATGACCTGCATGATCCTTGGCTGGCTGTTACTTCTGCATCCAACACTCTTCTCGGCAGCTTTTAACCACTTTGCTCGAGCAGAATTCGTTTTGGGAGACATGTTCACATTTTCCTGGGTCTCTTCAGGGATGTGCACAAGCTGGGAAGATCCTGGACGTGACTGAATGGAAACTCTGGGTCCCCCAGATAGGCCAACACTGTTGCAGCCTGGCATGCTACCAGGCTGAATTTTCAGGTACTGATTGCTTGGGCCATGGTGATCTCCATTAACACCCACTCTAGATGGCTCAGAGCTTGACCTCATTTCAATGGCCCTAGGTGGTGACTGTCCAGAATCGGTTTCAATAACCTGCAGGGACAGCTTCCGACTTTCATTCTTATTCTTCCATTGAGAGAGGAGTTGTTTAGAGCGGGCAGAATCCATGGAGGCATGGATGGACGCGTTCCGTCGAACCGATTCCTCTACTGCAGGTGTGTTGACTCTTGGCAAGGTGTTGCTGAATGTGACCATGTTTTCCTTTCCCATCGGACTTCGTGGCATTATAATCTCTACGTCAGCATTCGCTCTCTTCAGGTTTGTCAAGGAGCCGGTGTCTCTGTGGTTCCTGTTCAACATGTTCTCCACATGATGAGTCGTGATGGCATCGTTTCCACTACCGTTTTTCCCTGGTAAAATTCGATTGGGATCTTGGCTTAGGTCAGGCAAAGGTCTCAATGGCTCTCTGTGTACGTTATGATTGAACATGCTGTCTTCACTTGGCAGAAAGTTCCCCACAGCATACAGACCCTGGTATTTGAAGAGGGGGAAAAATAGAACCCTTTTATGGAAAAGTAAATATGTATAAACACTTCAGCAGAAGATAGTTACATTTATCAAGTGTTGTGGGTATGGAATGAACTCTTAAAACTGCTAATATATCAGCCAAAGATATATAATTTTTTCATAATGGGATCACACATATTCCTAGCAATTATCTGGATCTGTCCCTGTCTTAAGAACCCCGTCTCTGTCTTAAAATCCCTAAGAAATAGTTTCACCAGTAGATGGAACAGGCAAAAGAACGTGAAGACATCCGTGCATATCTCCACCCCTTTATCACATTTCTTCACTTAAGAAAAAGCTGTTAATATCTCAGACCAATTTCAGAAATGTTTAAACGGATAGGCCTTTTTGAGTCTGCCAGCTTTAACGAAAGGTTAATACAGAGGAAGGAAACCAGAATCAACAAAGTCCAGCAGTTCAGTAAGAGCATAGAGAATAAGTTGCCATCAATAAAGAGTACTCATTGAGCATTTTAATTGATCCAAGGATATCTGCATGGGCCCACATGGGAATCCTTTGAAATCAAAAAGTTTGACACTTTGTAGTGGGTCAGCTTTCCACGCACCAATTGTATAATCAAAATAATTTTATGGGGGGGAAAAAACAGGAGAAACATAGTGCTTGGCAGTTACTCTTGCTTTAAAATTCTTACTGATACAAAAAAAAAGAAGAAGAGACTAATGGGTACCAAGTTATAGTAAGCACCATATTCCGTCCATGATTCCCAGAGCTCTACGTAAGGCAAGCTGTCATGCAGCAGCGTGTGTAGTTTTGTTCCCGACTTCACCAATTTCATATTAAAGAGAGAGACTGATTTGCTCAAGATTGTCCAAGTGAGTTTCAGAAAGGCTTATAGAGCCCTAAATACATTATGTTATCTCATGAATAGATTATCGCTGCCCTTTCCATTTTTCAAGGCCATCTGTGATTTTTAGAAACACATTGTAGAGAGCCAATTTGAATAATGTACAGGAGACATCTAAAACCACATAAAAACTCTTCATTTATAAGACATGTGGGCAATTCTACTCACCAAGTAAAGGGCAATTCCACCCCCAATTAAAAAGCCACAATAAACATCGACTGGGTGGTTTTTGTATTGGGTGATGCGTGTCAGGCCACATATAATCCCGCAGATGATAAAAGCGAAGACTAGAAGTGGTTTCAGAAGTTTAGAGGAGTCGGTTAGCGTAGAATTGAAGTACATCTTTAAAAGAAATACATTAAAAAAAAAAGTTTAGTGACATTTCCCAATGGAATGGTACTCTTTCTCTTCCTGTTTTTTGAAGGAAGGTAATAAAGGAAAACAAACAAAAATCCCTTGGGTTGTTTTGAAAAAAAACAAAAAAAAACCAGTTGATATGTTGTGAGGTAAGAGTCACGAGTTTTCTCCCTTGCTATTTGGAATTTGGGAGAAAAATGCAACGTGCCAACCATGACTTGGAGTGATAACAACAGTGATGGGAACTATAAGAATTGTCTTATTGCTGGTTTACAAATGTAATTAAAATGAATAGCTCAGTTTCTTGAGTGAATGGGTTGGGAGAGGGACAGTGGCTCTTGGAGATAGTAACGTCCATCTAACTCCGAGAGTGTGGGACCAGGTGAGTCTTCTGACTCAACAGAGTAGAGAGGTGAAAGAATCTCTTTGCCACAGAACTCCGAACTCCATCTGAATAATTTCTCAAGGTGTGAACTGAGCACCTGTCAGTATGAACCAGACTGGGAATTTATTTGGAGGCGTTAGGGAAATTGCAGAGGAAGGGTCAAGTGCTAATGGAAACAAATCAGAGCTGCTTATCCCCACAAAGCCTTTGGAGAAAAGAAGGACCATCCCCCATATTATAATAGGATAACTGTCAGCTTTGGAAGCCATATTGAGACCAGACGCTTCCCTATTGCCACATTTCTGAACCTGGGAAATTGGGAGGGGGGAATTTCTTGGAGTGGATGTAGTTAGATATAACAACATTCTTTTTTCTAAGTCAAGGCCATGTTATTCTGCACGTAAGTGAGGGGAAGTCTCAAGCTGGGACGGAGGGTGATTGGGGCATGTGATGTGATGATGGGTGCAGGGGTTGGATTTGTAGTTTTTACTTATTGCAAGGAAGCCCGGAACTTTTCAGATTCGGGATTCCCCAGATGTGCCAGTTTACTATCCAATCAAAACGGAACTTTTGAGAAGATATCTGTCTCGGAGTCATTTGTTGGAGTGGAGGTTTTCTGGAATGCTGACAATAACTTCAATGATAATCTTGTCCTCCCCACTTCCCAACCTCAACCCTTCTGTGAATGCCATTAGAAATAATCAGATCTGGCATTTCATTCACATCATTGCTTTCTCTATGTTGGAGATGTCTGAATATAGTCTGGATGAGGTGACACCTTAGCTTAAGAGCGGGGAAGAACCATAGTTGGGAGTCCTCCAAACATTTCAGAAATTAAATCATCCATACATTGTGAGAAAGGCTCTTGGCAGTTAGAGGAAAAACATGTGCAGTCCTATGCCATGCCTACTTATCAGTAAAATAAGAAGAGCATGTGTCAAAAGGATTACGAGCCACCTGCTTTCATGCTGAATTTGCAGTGAGTTGGTTTGAAAAATTAAAAGCCTGATATAAATACCAAAATACTGACTAATTTCTGAGATTAATTTGTTCTTTGATGTCTATGGAGATTCTTAGTCATCCAGGCCATGGTTGTCCCAAAGGTGCTTTTCCAAAAGGCAACTGGACTTTCTTTGTTTTTCCTTGAAGACGTTTCGCTTCTTATCCAAGAAGCTCCTTTGGTTCTGTCAGAATGGTGGGGGATGGAAGGATGTCTATTCCTTGCAGTCATCTGGTTGACAGCATTTTCTTTCAAAGCCCTTGAGGCCACTTGGAGATTTATCTGTACCCCCTTGGGATCACCTGAATAGTGCAAATGGATATGGAACCTTTTGGGAACTGTTCAAAAGACAGTGTGGTCTCCTTTCCCAGCAGAGGGGAAGGGATATGACACCGCCTCTATCTCCCGTTTACAACACAGTCCTTTCTGCAGTTCAAGAATATTCCACACCCATTTGCGCTATTCAGGTGATCCCAAGGGTACAGATAAACCTCCAAGTGGCCTCTACAACACTCAGAGGGAGTGCTGATGACTGCTAGATTTAAAATCCTTCCGTTCTCCACCATTCTGTCAGAACTGAGGAAGCTTCTTGTTCTTTCAGGGCATACAATATATTTTCAATCATGAAAATGTCCCTTTCATTTAATGCAGATAAATCAACATCATTAAATGGTGAGAGAAAGAGAAAGTTGTAGATTTTTGTGACCTGTCACAAAACGTTTCTCTTACCTGGACGTTAGTCCATTGAGCATGTTGGATGTTACTTAGGAGTATACATATATGACATTTATATCATTATGACTTGGCCACAGTTCACTATGCTGCTTTTAAAAGGACAGGATATTTAATAAAAATGGTGTTTCTAACCAATTCTCCTTAATCTCTAATTTGTATATTCACTTCTTTGAAGAAAATGAAGCTGGTGTGATTCTTCTTTATCATCAGGCTGTTTTATACAAGGGAGCAATGACATTCTGATTCCACCCCCCCTCTCTTGTATACATTAATACGAAAAGGCTTAATTACTCACCGAAACATACACAGCTGCAAATGCTGCCAGGGTGGCATGTTGTGAAGGAAATGACTTTCTGCAAAGGAAGGACATTCAAATTAAATTTCTCACTGAAAAGACATTCTGCCAAGCCTGATTTGAAAATAACTTAAAGCACTGGGTGGTCCAATTTGGATGCCGTGTTTAACCTACAAGCCTGTATATTCTGAGAAATTATTATTACATTATCAGTTTGGAAAAAAAAAGACCTTTTGGTATTTTGTATAGAATGACTTGCTACAGCTTACATTAACAAACATAATAGACATTTTGACTGCACTGATTAAAATCCTGAATGAAGAAAATTTCCAATTATGACAGAATGAGCATTGCATAAAGATTTGGGAATAGCTCATTTCTTGCCATTAATTTTCTCGGTGACTGGATAAGCATTGCATCCGTCAATTAAAACTCTTTAATCCACTGCCCCAAAATTGGCAGCAGAATTCCTCTCCAGGATTTCTATCAGTGCTGACTTTGATGATTTCCTAATAATCACCGCCCAGTTTTTTAAAGATGTAAAGAAATAGACATCTCAGAAAAGTACTCCGAGTCTTGATCCATGGTGATGCTGGCAGTTAAGATGTTCATCAACATAAAGAAAATCTAGAAAACCTTAAATCAGTATTTTTTAAAATGTGGTCGAAGGACCTCGGAGTCCCTTACCAGAAACTCTCAGAGGGCCACAAAATCAAAATTATTTGTCAGACATTGAAAATATTTGCAAAGATTAAAACAATGTTACTGTTGTTACTGTTTTTAGTTCCTTAAAAATACAGGTTTATTTAATATGTTAATGTTTATGTTAACATCTAACATACATTTAATATGCTCAATATTGTTTATTTCATAGGTTTTAATGTTGTTACTTTGACATGATTCTATAAATAAATATTCTGCTAATACATCAATTTTAATTTTAAATATGGTAAACATTGATAAATGTAACCTACACAATCTAAAGCTCTTTCAGGGTCCTCTATTATTTTTAAAAGTGGAAAAGGGTTCTGAAAGCAGAAGCTCAAAAAACACTGTTTCCAAGGATTGATGGAAAATGTAAGCACTTGGGCGGTTGTTAGTAGATAGGGGAAAGGTGTTTAACTAATTATTTCATTTAAAAAAAATATTGTGGAGTAATATTTTAAGATTTGTCTCTCTAAAAACCATTGAAAAACTTAATGGTTGTAGTGAATATATCTCCAAAAAGCAACATTTAGGATTTGCTTCTTTTTAATCTAGCCAACCTTGGCTGATCTGCAGTGTTGAACCTGGTTAGGACTTGGATAAGGATAAGGACCACTTTGGATAACCTGAAGATCCCTGGTGGTGCAGTGTTTAGAATGCAGTATTGCAGGCTAATTCTGCCAACTGCCAGCAGTTTGATTCTCATTGGCTCAAGGTTCACCTAGGCCTTCCATCCTTACGAGGTCGGTAAAATGAAGACCCAAATTGTTGAGGGCAATATCCTGACTCTATAAATTGCTTAGAGAGGGCTGTAAAGCACTGAAGTGCTATTGCTAAACTGTAAGGTTGCTGAACACATTTTGGAAGAAGGCTGTGGCAAACCATTTCTTTACTTTTGTCAAGACAACGATAGTGATATGTCCATGAAGTCACTTAAAATCAAAGTCTACTTGAAGAGACTTAGATGCACTCAAGCAAAGTCTAAGATGGATCAACACTTATGCATGAAGATATTTGTACATGAAAATTCTCACTAGAGAATACACAATAACCTATTCTGAGATAGGCATTATTTAAAAAAATATTGAAGCAATCTCAAAAATAATTACTGTAAATCTGGGAAATTGAAACAAGATTTTTAGAGTTTTTTTTTTTCATTTTGAAAGAACTGAGGTTAGACTGTCTTCTTTTAAAATTAGACTTTATGTATTGATTTTCTCTGAAAAAAGAAAGCCTTGTGCCTCATATCAGCCTGCTATCTGCAAATGCTATTACAGTATCTAAATATCTGTTTATAAATCACTTAATTTTACGCATGATGATTACTCTTGGAATCAGTTCAGATAGAATAATGGATGCACAGAGAGGTATTCGCATCTCCTTTGCAAATTCTAAATGTGTGTTTTTCCTAGAACATTATATTACGCACTTGGGGGAGAGAGCACAGGAGCAGGAAAATATCGTTCAATTACCGCCAAGGCCTATTTTTAGGGAAATCTTTCTCATGATTGCAACCCATTTTGTTGACAAAATTACCTCTTTTTCAGTAAGACACAAACCCCGGCAATTGTAGCCCATTTACTCACTTCCATTTTCAAGCAACTAAAATGTCCATCCATTTTGTAACTATCCTCACTTATAAAGGTAGTCCTTGACTTACAAACATTCATTTAGTGACCATCCTAAGTTACAACGGCACTGGAAAAAGTGACTTATGACCATTTCTCAGACTTATGACTGTTGCAGCATCCCTATGGTCACGTGTTTACCTTTGGGTGCTTGACTAATTCACATTTATGACAATTGCAGCGTCCTTGGCGTATGTGATCATAATGTGATCACATTATGTGACTTTCTGACAAGCAAAATCAACGGGGAAGCCAGATTCACTTAACAACCGTGTTACTAATTTAACATCTGCAGTGATTCACTGTGGCAAGAAAAGTCGTAAAATGGGGCACGACTCAGAATAACAAGTTTCCCACATAGCAACATAAATTCTGGGCTCAATTGTGGTGGTAAGTTGAGCAAATTTTTGCTATGAGAACCAAAAGCCTTAAGGAGAGCCATTGAGAATTACATCAGTTTCTCCCTGTAGAATTCTACCCTCTTTATTTTTTATTTTTTTTTAAAAAAACAAAACAAAAATACAAATCTCTATTTACATTAACAGTGTTCGTGTCATTATTAATCCATACATCTCCTTTTTATATGTAAACATCAACTCTTATTTCTATCCTCCACCCATTTGTACCACCTATCCTAAACCGCATAATAGTCCGAATCATCTTTGCCTCTTAATTCCATTGTGAATTTATCCAGTTCTGCACAATCCATTATTTTTTGTGTCAAGTCTTCTTCAGATGGTATCTTTTCCTTCTTCCATCCCTGTGCGAAGGCTATTCTCGCTGCCGCAGTTATGATATGTATAATGATGTATCGGATTACCTTGCTCAATTTTCCCTTAATTATTCCTAATAAGAATATTTCTGGTTCGAGTTCTAATTTGTGATCTGTAATTTCTAATAACCATCTTTGTACCCTCATCCAATATTTTTTAACCTCTGGACACTGCCACCACATATGGAAGAACGTTCCTTCTTTGTGCTTACACTTCCAACATTCTGCTTTTGTGTTTGGATACATTTTGGCCAGTCTTGCTGGGGCTAGGTGCCCCCTACAAAACATTTTATATTGATTTTCTTTAAATGCTGTTGAGAATTCTACCCTCTTTAATCTGTTTCTAAATACACCATTTCTAATATATGGCAAAACACAGCCAAAGGGTTGATCCACATTAACACAATCGAAATAGAGGAAAAAAGACCAGCTGCCTTTGGTTCATTCCAGCACTGCCTACCTGTCTATCAGTCCAACAAAGGTAATTTACCTGAAGGTAGCTACCTTCATCCCAGCTAATTTTGATACTAATTGTAGCTATCAGGCACCACATCGTGCTACCTAAAACTGGAAGGGAATGATGGAATGGACACTTGAGCGTTTCACTTCCTGCTTTTGGCTAATAATTAAATTGGCAGCTATGGTAATGCATTAGGGTTGTAGCTAAGAGCAAGGTAAGGGAAACTCAGCTATTTCATCACCTCTGCTGTGATGCCAATGTCCTTGGATTCTTCCCAACTGTCATCCTGAAAAAGCCTGAAAATTTCAACATTGACCAAACTACATTTTTTTCCATATGATTTCAATCAAAACCTGTAACCTATAAAAACTGAGACTGCAGCTTGATTCTTTTCTCTTCGTCTCTTGCAGCCTCCTTTACCCTATGAGTAACCTTTATATATATATTAGGCCTTGCCTTGCTGGTGATGGTTGCAAGCAACTTTAGAAGTCATTTTTATCTGAAGAACACACTAAAATATTCTATGTAAATTACAGAGCAAAGGGTTGCCTTGTGGAAAAGCAAAATATGCAGACAAATACTACAATCAGAATGACAAGGATGCATATAGATGATGAACAAGAGATAACAAATACTGAATAACATACAGCTAAATATATTTCTAACCTGCCATCATTGATGATAATAGGATCAGATCCTGAGCAAATATCCTCCACGATGTAAGAATTTTCTGAGCACGATACGTTGAGGGAAGTATAATTAGGTTTGCATACAGTCAGGAAATACGGTGTCTGATATCCAGTTGACAACTGTATGATATCAGTGACGAGTGCGGTAGCACAAAGGCCAAAGATATGGACACCTAGAAATGAAAACAAAATAATAATAATTATTGCACTTTGGTCAATGGAAAGCCAAATGGGTCGCTAAACACCCAGTTATAGGAAGACATGTAAATGACCCCACAAAAAAGGTGCTAGGCTGTGAACTACCACATGAACAACAGACAATGCTGAATAGAATTCACACGTCACATGGCCTCTGGTGGCGCTCACTGTATAAATAGTGCTTAGTATCCTCCCTTCCGCATGACACAGGGTCCCACATCAAACTGCAGATCACATTGTGACTGTCTGTAAACTGAGGGCATATATTGTTCCTGTATTTGATTTTTTCAATATAAACAATATTGCGCTTCAATGGTTAAATGGTCTAGATCAGGGGTATCAAACTTGCCACATCACATTGCCGTCATGTGATGTTTCATGACATTTTTTCCCATTTGTGGAGCTGGGGTGGGTGTGGCCTGCGGGCAGCCAGTTTGACACACCTGGCCTAGATATTGATATTAGAATGTAGATCTTCTTGACATTTATATATTATTGGGTTCTACTAATCTAGTTGAAATGTTGATTTATATTGCTAGTCCATGTATATTCCATATGATATGATAACACTACGACCCATAACTTTAGTCAAACAGACATATTGTTTATTCTAATTTGGGACACCAGCTGATAATCTATAGACTATGGTCTAAATCTGCACACAGAGTAAAATGCCAGCTGATAATGTAATGTGGTAGTACTGTAGTTATTTCTCCATATACCTATATTATAATTCTGAATCAGACAGCTTCTTTTTTGCCAATCCACATGGTGAGTACTTCAACCCATACAGACGAGCAAGCATATAGATTGAGGCGAGACAGCCATCTTGGATGGCATATATTCAGTGAAGGTAAAGCTTCATCCAGGTCCCCACAGAACTCCGAAACCCCATCAGAAAAACTCACCAACAAATCGGACAGCTCTCCTAAGGAAAGAGTTGAAATTGCAGCCGCCTGCGTTGATATTGGCCTCGGCTCCAATTCCATTCCGGCGTTTGGAAAGGCAGCAATAGAGAATGCTCTCACCTACCATAATCTGCAATGACAAAAGCTGGGTGCAAGGTAACTGTGGCAACAGTTTGAGCAGGGTCTGGTCCAAATCAAAGCACTTACATGTAATTATCGTAGTGCGAATTTCATTCACCAAAGTGTGGATGCTTGAAGGTATATATATTTATGCCTGTATATAGCACGTGCATGTGTGTATTATGTAGGTGTTTGAGCAGATATATATTTTCTCTTGAGAGCAGGCAACAGAATTTCATTTTTAATGTAGGCCAGTGCGCTCAGAGTAAAAAAAATGGCAATAAAGTTATCTTGCTACATCACAGGTAACTCTTAATTCACTCTTCTGAGGGCAGGGAATATACTGCATGTTTACATGATCTTGTTTGCAAAAAGTACAATCAGATCTGTTGACTGAAACAATGGTTGATCTAAGATCTCTTCCAGCTCTCTGACATCGGTTGATCTAAGATCTCTTCCAGCTCTCTGACATTGCTAGTGGATAATTGGATTGAAAGCAGAGAATGAATATCTTCATATGTACAAACAAAGCAAAGTGTGTTTTGAAACTTTGAGAAAATGGAACTTTAAGAAAATTCCTGTCTCGGAGGTTTGGTGTCGGAGTTTGTTTTTCTGGAAAGCTGACACAAAGGGGTATATACTGCTATTACCATGAAACAATATGTTAGTTTCAAAATTGACCTCTGAGGTAATTAACTTTGGGAGAAATGCTCAGGGTTACTAAATAAATTTTGAAGATTTGAACTTAGTTTTAGACTGAAATATTCCTTCTCTTGCTTGGTTTTTTGTAGATGTGTTGGATTATACCTGCTATTGTTTTGAGAGGTCAGTGCTCATCACAGAGGTCAAGGCTGGGCTGAAATTACCTGTTTCACTTTGTATTAGCTTTACAGAATCATGAAAACACTACTCTGGGTTGGCAATTTTCAACATTAGCTCTGACTATCTTTAATACATTTTTAGTAGCACTTCTACTGCTTCTCCAGTATTTTCGGCTTCATTTCCATTCACTTCTATCACATTTGAGTAGCTAAAGAGATTTGACTGGTGTTTGGCAATTTTGTCCCATTGAGCATGATATTGGCAGAGGCCCATAACCGCCATTTTGTGAGTAGCTAAGAAGCAACTACTTCTTCTTCTTGAAGAGAGCAACTTTGAGATCTCCACAGCTCAGATAAGAAGTTGATTAGATGGCTGGAGGAGGCTTTTTTTTAAAAAAAAAACACGAATGAAGATGTTTCCAGAATGGCTTAAGCAATAATTTTGGCAAGGAGGATTTAAGGGTGGGAATTGTTGTGCAACACTCCTAGGGAATCAAACTGGCTTGAAAACTGCATTACTATCCTCCAAATTATGGTATCAACATTCAGCAGCAAATTGAGGAGAAAATGGGCAGTTTGCTTCTATGAAAACTTCTCTTCTCATTCTTATTTTAAGCAATTTAAAATGTACTTCCAAAATTGGCTAACTTTGCATCAAGTTTGACAGCACAATCACAGGGAGCGATACCCAGTTCTTAGGCCACAAGCATCCTATCTTGCAGTAGTAGAACAACAAAAGTAGTTAATGGTAGGTAAGTGAAACTAACTGAACAGGGTCCGTGGTTCATGAACTGTTCTATGTAACCGAATTCCTTAAGAATATCAACAGCTTGGCCTAGCTTGACTGATGTTGTGGCCATCTCCCTCCCTATTTTGCTAAAATTGGAATGTGATTTCATTTGGTTCTTCTAATGTTTTGTTGCTATTTATTTATTTAATTTAAATGCCACCCATCTCATTATCCAAAGCTCCGGGTGGCCTATCTTTTGCTCACTGTTATCCAACAGATCTTACTATATAGTTGACAGAGGCGGCTGTTCCTCTTTTATTTCTCTCCAACAGGTACGTTAGTTAGAACTGCAGCCTTAATTGCCCTGTACCGAGTGAGAAGCATGAATGAACCAGCTCTCAATTATTCTAATTGCTTTCTAGCTAATCTAAATCACTGTGGTACTGCTTTGCCTTCACCCAGGAGGCTTCCCTGAGGCCCAGTCAGGGGTGGTTTTCTGGAGGAGTGGGGAGAAGTGGCCTGAGGGCAGAGCTGAACCTTCCTTAGGACTGAAGCTTCTATTTTTCAGTGCAGACTCAAGTAGCAGATTGCAGAAAGGTAGATCTGTGATACTGCAAGCAACTCAATCTGCCTGTCTGCTTTGCCTGATTTTGGGTAAAAGTTGCTCTTTTTTTAAATTAAAAAAAATATCAATATTTACATAAATAATTACAATATTTACATATAAGCCAGGCCCAGCCAGTCATGTGACCACCAAGCCACACCCAATCAGCAAGCCACGTCCACCCAGTCACATGACCAACAAACCACACCCACAAATTAGGCCACATCCATGGAACCAGTTGTTAAGAAATTTGAATCCCACCCCCGAGTATTCCCCAAGTATTTTAGGTAAGAAGTCATGCAAAGAATCTTTTTGACATTTCATTTTTAAAACATTAATTAAAAATTATGGAGGACCAGTTTTAGAAAACCGCTGATGCACTAGATCTCCTGGTATCTTTGTAATTGAGAGGGCAGTAATTCGACATTACTGCTCGGCCTTCTCTCAGCTGCTCTACCTACCTTAATGGATTTCCCTTATTTCCCCCCACAGCAAAATAAGGATGGTGAAGATGGTATAATTCCACCATAACGTAGATAGTAAAGGGGAACTTAAGGGATTTAGTAAGCTAAGTGCTATTGTCCAAATCACCTGCCAATAACATAATGGGCCTTGATACAGTCATTATGGTGGTGGGACTTTGATCAAGAACAACTAGTGTGATTGAAAATTAACATTTTTATTTTTACAGAATTCTCAATTGCTTTCAGTTGTTATATATGAAGATCTCTCTTGGAAGGAGCATAAGTCAAGCCATGCAGCTATTGATTGGGGTTTAGATACTGAATGCTTTTCCACAATACGATTAGGCAATTTTCCAGCTTTGCATATAACAGTGAACTGTAAGCTAAGCTGAATGGGCTGGGTTTATGTTTGATCTAATGTTAATGAGCTGGCCTAGAAACCAGGAGACAGTGAGTTCTAGTTCTGCCTTAGGCATGAAAGCCAGCTAGGTGACTTTAGGCCAGTCATTCTCTTTCAGCCCAGCTCACCTCACAAGGTTGTTGTAGGGAAAATAGGAGGAAGAAAGAGTGTGAAATAGATATGTTTGTCACCTTAAGATACTTAGGATTGAACAAGGGTGGGATAAAAAAAAATCTAATAATTAAATAAATATGCCAAGTCACAGAAACACTAACCAAGTTTGAAACTAAACATGGCTGAATAAGCAGGGAAGTATTTAAACTGATCCAGTGAAGCATATAACCTAGCCTAAATTTTTCTGGCAACTGATTCTTCTGTTTTGTCTATATGTTCCAATCCATTATTCTTTCAAATTCAAGGGGATATACTAAAAATCTGTTATATAACCTCGTTATGAATGCCAAGATTTAGCCTTGATCATATAAACCAGGATTAAAAAGACCTAATAATGTTTGACTACTCCTCCAGCTGTTTCTTTCCTATCCCGGGGAGAGCACTCCTTAACAAGCAGCTTTTCAGAATCAGCTGCCCAAATCTGTCACCACTGGATCTTTTTGACTATAGGTGAGCAAAATTCACCACGGGGCTCTCTGCAAATAAATCATTGGATCAATTATTGAAGATAGGAATTGTAGATCTGATGATCTGGTCTTCTGCTAATGGGCTGACACTATTCTGAGCACCTGCAAAACACAAAACAAATAGGACAAATGGGAAATTCTCTAACTCACCATAATGGCAGGAGCAGCAAAAGCCAAACTGAGCAACATCAAGATAGGAACAGCCTCCTGGGAAGGTTCAATGTATGGCATACTCAAACTTCTATCATAACAGCTGAATCCGGCATGTACTGGCTTGAAGACATCCGTGAGTTCAAGGAAATAGAGACTGACAACAGAAGAGGCCAGTATGGGCAGCTAAGAAAGAAACATGAACGTTATTATTATTATTATTTTTTAAAAAAACATGAATATATTTCAGCTCTATCTTGAAGGTTTGTATATTAATAATGAACTCAGACCTTAAGAAAGCTTTAGCATAGATCAGGGGTGTCCAACCTTGGCAACTTTAAGACTTGTGGACTTCAACTTTGCTGGCTGAGGAATTCTGGGAGTTGAAGTCCACAAGTCTTAAAGTTGCCAAGGTTGGACACCCCTGGCATAGATGCAACCACACACAAGAAAATATTTGGTTGCACAGTAGGACTTCCCTTAGCTGCCCTTCCTCATGTCACTTTCTGAGTAGACTCTAATGTGCTATACAGGATAGCAAGAGCACCGCTTCACAGTGTTTTACAGCCCCCTCTAAGCGGTTTACAGAGTCGGCATATTGCCCCCCAACAATCTGGGTCCTTTACCAACCTTGGAAGGATGGAAGGCCTAAGTCAACCTTGAGCCAGTGAGATTCGAACTGCTGATAGTTGGCAGAATTAGCCTGCAATACTGCATTCTAACCACTACCAAAGGGATCTTTCACCAGCAATTTAGACCCAGTGGCAGATGAAAATATCCATTTCATGTTCATAGACCAATGTTTTTCAACCTTGCTTGCTTTAACCTCCACACAGCTTTAAGGTACTAAGGATGAGAAACACTGGCATAGATAGTGTGAATGTTAAAAAAGGAGAAATCAGTACGGTCCTAAGAACAACAAACTTTGCTAAGGAAAAGGGAGACAGTGCAAATTCATCAAGAAATTCTTGAGTAAGGAACACATATGCTCAATGGCTACAAACAAAAGAGTTTTGGGACCAAAATAAAAATGTTAGAGACCAAGCATAGAATAGAATATCTAGGAAGCTTTTGTTTCAAGTCTTCTTTGTATCAAATTATTTGCCCTGATAACCCTGGATATGATTCAGGAAATGATGCGTTGATAATGCTAGATTTGATTTTGTTAAAAGTATGCATTTTAAAATTTAAATCCTCTATTGTGGATTAAAATGAGTTATGTGCAGCTTAATTGTCTGTCATAACTTCATTAAATCAATGTAAATTCAGAATTCTTAAGTGGGGCTAGTCACATTATTTTATTAATTTGGCATTTTATTAAGTTTGCTCATATCTTCTAAAGAAATTGAGAAATGCAATAGGAACTACAATAAAACTGAAAATCACAATATATAATACAATATGAATAGTAAAACAATGATTAAGCTCTACACTGAATACCAATATTAGCTATTGCATATTTATACGCAGTTCTCCTGCACTTATCATTCAGTATGGGTCGGTAGTTACCATAGCTCTTGGGCTCTATAGCAATCCAGTTGAAAGCAAATATACCTGTTCCAGGATAATGTTGCAGGATCCAATCTGAGTCAATCACCAGGACCAAAGGTTTCGTCTTCCAAGCTTCAGAATCATGCTGGAGCCCATGGAACTCATGGAACTTCTCTCCCACCAGAATGTAATTCACGCAGATTGGATCCTGCAATCTAGTGAATCTTGTAATGTGCCCTTTCTCACAAAGTCTCTATTTGATAGCACTCTACTTAAAAATATTTCTGTCCAAGTCTGATTAAAATATTTAATAAACACACAGGGTGGAAGAATGGGGTCCTTGAAGTCATCTATTCACACCTGGGCAATAGGAAGACCAGGTACACTCATAATCTAGTTAGAGTCTTTCCCACTCAGGTGAGGGATATATATTTCTAGTTAAAATTTAGTCACTCTAAATTTGCATCTACACAAATTTAATCAGAAGAACTCCAGTAGCAATTCTTCCAATTAACAAAGTTTATTAAAAGGTACAGTTTTTTGTGAGCCACATAGATGAGCTCCATCTTTCCATCCATCCATGCATCCATTCATCACTGGTCAAGGCTAGCATCTGGGTTTGAAGCCAAAAATAAACCAATCCAGCAAAATTGGTGTAAGATAAGAGGAGTATTTTCAAATTTCATCTTGTATGCAAAAGCATGTAGCCATAGTTTAGACCAGGGGTGTCAAACTGGTGGCAGAGAGGCATCTCGTGCAGGCCACGCCCACCCCAGCTCCACAAAGGAGGGGAAATGTCACAATATGTCACGTGATGGCAATGTGATGTGACACATTTGACACCCATGGTTTAGACCAACTGAGAGTTCTAATCTATATTATTCATATATTCTAAGCTACCGGTTATGATAAATTAATAATATGCATTTTAGTTATCCAAATGTTTATCCCTCTCCTCCCAAAAGTCTATTCATCTTGCTGAAAGCAAATGCCTGCATGCATACATTAAATTCTTTATTAGCATAAGTGTTCATGTATCTAAAGTGCCACATCTGTGCTATTTTTTTGGGGGGGGCATCTGCATATAGTTTTCTCTAATACATGCATTTTGAATTAATTTTTGACACATTTTATAAGCACATTGTCCTTGTAAAATTCTCATTTTAGATTTCTTGAAAGCTCACTCATCCAGATATTCAAAACATCTGACAGCCCTTCATCAAAATGGATGTTTTGTAACATTTATTCCAGTCCTCTTTTATTCATGATTACTCACAATTATAACTCAAAGAAGTTTGATGGAGGCATATTTTCAAATAAATTACATAATACCTTAATGTCCTTAAAAACAATTCCAAGTAGATGTAGAAGTGAATATAGTGAGCCTTTAGCCATTATTGGGGTGGATGGGTGGATGTACATACATATATGTGTGTGTATGTGTTTTTGTGTGTGTGTGTATAACAACATTTAACCCACCTTGGCTTATTTCAAAAAAGGTCTAAGCACAGTCAAAGTTGGCTTATATTGGGTAATATTTGGATAAAAGTTAACTAAGTCTAAGGCTGGTGGCAAGTTGATAAGGAAATTGAAAACATTAAGTCCAGACTCCTAAGGAAACAGATTTTTTTTAAAAAAGGGAAATGTCAAATCACTTCAATATTGTTGCCAGGAAAACTGCAGGAATATGACTATGAAGACTCCAGGAATCAAGCTCTGCTTGAAGGACATTTTATCTGCATTGCCACATTCAATGCCCTGTTGGTTTTGATGATGGTTGGTGATGGAGGAGAGGGGATTGTTTACCTACTGGATTTTATTTGAAGCATTGATTTATGAATTGAGATGAACACTGGAATGTAATTGTCTCATGGCAAATCTGTTATTTATGGTGATTATATACCCTATTAATACACTTTTGGAACAAGTACTATGGGTATCAATTCACAAAGTCTTACTATTTAATTGAAATACAGTGATTTTAGGGGATGTTCCTAATAGTTGGTGAAGGCCAAACCTTATGGGTAATAACAAAATTTATCGTACCAAATACTGGAAAATATAGCAGATGCACATTGTTTTGCTATGGAAACAAGCAATAGTAGATGTCATAGCGAAGAGAAAAATAGGAAAAAACATAATTTTTCTAATGAATTTGACCTTTATTTGATTATATCCTTCCTTTTGTATAACTCAAGGTGGCATATGTAATGCTCCCTCCTCCTCCTCCTCCACCCCACAATAATTCTGTGAGTTGGGTTGGGCTGGGAGAAAGAGAGTGGCCCAAAGTCATCCAACCAGCCTTCATGGCTAATGGTGGCCTAGAACTCACTGTCTCCTAGTTTCTAGGCCAGGGGTGTCAAACTCGATTTCATTAAGGGCTGCATTAGGGTTGTGTTTGACCTCAGGGGGCCAGGTGGGCATGTCCAGCTCAATGTCACTCGTGTCAGGGGCACCTGTGGTGGGCCGGGCAGGGCTGGGGGGGATCCATTTTTGCTAGTAGTTTGTTTTGCTAGCACTATGCACCCAAAACAGGCTCCATTTTCGGCTGTGACAGCCTCTTGCATCCCTCTGCCAGCAAAAAGGGCCACCCTACGCAGTCCCCCTGAGCTCCATTTTCGCTGGAAGAGGCACTGCAGTCTAGTCCTTTGCTGTTTCCAGGGCAACCCAACGGGCCAGATCTAAGTATCCTGCGGGCTGTATCCGGCCCACCAGCCTTGAATTTGACACTCCAGTTCTAGGTCAACATCTTAGCATTACACTAAGCTGGTCCTCCGTTAAAACTTTTTATGATTCAAATTTCATTACAACTGTCCCATAAAGCTCATCTAGATAACCTTATATATACTGTATATAACTTAGAAATATATAGAGTCAATTACTTAATGTTGAAAACATTTTGCTCAAATCTTGTGCTCTTTATTTAACACCTCAGCCATGATTGATAATGATGCTGAAAGCCTAAAAATAGTTTTTATTGGTACACATTGGGCCAGTCTACAATGGTACATGCTTCTTCTGCCCCCACCCTGCTAACTGAATGCCTTCCTTCAATCAATCTATCTAGAATACCTGCTCTGTGATGTCACATATGGCAGTGCTTGGTGTTGTCATGACAAAATGTCCTCAGCTAGTTCATTTCATTGACATAAATAATGGGATAAATACATAGGTCTGACATCATGCAGATACTTAAAAGGAATAGGATCATACATGAATGTGAAATGGCTTCATTCCGGTAACTGCTTCTTTCACCCACTGCTAACAATCTTCCTTGGGGGATTTTTATAGAGTTCTTCCTGTCCTGCCACATGAAAGTGTTTATCAGAAGATTGGGAAGATGAAATTGGGATGTACTGCCAACCAAGCCCAAGTCCCTCCCCACAATCCCATTAAGGTTCTAAAGCAGGGATGGGGAACGATGGCCCTTTTATGACTTGAATTTTGGGAGTTGGAAGTCCATAAATCCTAAAGAGGCCAACTCTGCTCTAGAGCATTGTTTCTTAACTTTTGGCAGTTTTCAGGTGTGTGGACGTCAACTTCCAGAACTGAAATAGCATAAAATGTATTTTTTGGTGACTGTATATTAATGTATATACCATTAACAGCTTCCTTAAACCACAACTATTATTCACCTGTCCATCCATCCGTGCATCTATCCATGCATCCATTCATCAATGCACCCACTCCATTCC